TATATAATTAGGTAAATCCACAGCTTAAAAAGCACTCAGATAGGTGTTCATGAAATACAAATAAGAGCAATACATTTCTGAGTACTGTGTATACTTAGATCCCATTTACAAAACAAGAAAGGAAATAAAAGAGGGAGGGAGGGAGAAGGAAAAAGAGGATGCACCCCATATATGAGTGTGTACTTTGTAGACATCTGTTTGTAGATTTGTGAGTATAGTAAAAGGAAGAAGCCATATCTAACATTAGTGCTGCTTGATTTGTGATGGAGTAATATCCCAATAAACCCATAATAAATTAAAAATATCATAATTCAAAACCATATTTAATATACCAAACGTACTAGACAGTTAGTCTGGCCTACCTTACCATGCTCAGAAAACTTACACCAGCTCACAGTGGGGAAAAATCATCTAACATGTTATCATGAAGTGCTGAATACTCATGGAATTTGATTATTATACTGAAAGTGAATGGCTTACCATCCTCGTCATGTGACTTAGGGGAACGGTGCCTGTTTTCACTCCCCTTAGTGAAAGAGAATCCTCCCACACACAGTTAACCAAGGAAGTGACGGGAATGCAAAATCCAAAGTATGGTTTTCACTGAATGAGTATTGCTTTCACAGCATCATAATTTTGAAAATCTTAAATTGAAACATTTTAAATTGGGCACTATCTGTTTTCATCCTGGTTACCTCAGGAGTGTGGACTTGGTAGGAGATTTTCAGCTTTCCCTTGTATATCTCTGCTTTGTCACGCTGCAAAAAAGAATGCTTTGCTTTTAAAGTTTTAAGGAATAATTGAAAAACTAGAACAGAAGAGTTTCACTATCTGTAAACTTAATGCTCTGTGATAAAATCTGTTTTTCTAATTTTATTGCCTCTCATGCTTCAATGGCCCCTTATTCACATTTGGCTCCCATTTATAAAACCTAATGGGAAAAGATAAATCTGATTATTGTGTCTTCTTCTCAAAGGAGTAAATGATTCACCATAGTAATAATGTAATTGAATGAAAGTCATAGAATCTTCAATGAAAAAGATACCTAAAAAGAGTAACTAACGATATTTACAGGGGAGAGGTATAATTCCATTTGAATGAAGTTTTGCCCGTTCATTCACTCATCCGCCCATTCATTCATTCATTCAACACAGACCTAATCTGATTTATTTTATTTTATGTCATAACAAAACTGTCACCTCTACTTAACCAAGTGAGTGATTATTAGAAGTCTCCCCTATAAATCACAATGTTTAGTAACTTCCAACCCTCCTGCAACCAAGTTGTTAAAGACCTTACTTAGTTCAAGCATCACACAAATCTAGTTCCATCTTCCAAAGGCTAAAAAGTAATTAGAATTTTCAATCAACTTCTGTGGTTGTTGGTGCTGTTAGCCAGCTCCATCTTCTGGGCAAATGGTAGGACTGCACTACCTCACCCACTGTGAGGTGAGAGCTGGCTATAAGTCTTGCTTTGGCCGATGAAATGAGAGCAAAAATGATACTCATTTAAAAGCCACTCTGAATCTGCCATGTCTTTTTCTTCCCCAGCAATGATGAGAGCAGATATCAAAGCAGCAACTTTATAGTTTGAAGGACAAAGTGAATGTAAAGGAATCTCATGCTGTGTTCAGTCACTAAAATGTCAGCACTGCTGTTGCCACAGCACAACTTAGCCCATACTGACTGATGTGCACCAGGACACTGAAGTTGTAACTGCAAACTCTCGGTGTCTGTAACTGATAAGACTTGTAATTGGTCAGCAAAGTAATGTTTGTCCACAGCTATAGGTATACTTTTTGCTGGCGGGAAACCTTCCAGAGCCCATAGCATTACTTTTAGTTACATTCGCATTCTTTACCAATGGTCTCTGAGGTACAGCACCCTTGTCTGGGTGACTGCGCAAAAAGTAGCTTCTAGCTTCAGTCATCAACTCTATGCGAATGTAGTTGCTATACCCAGATCAACAGGTCAAATAATCCCTTCTTGGGTAATTCCTCTGGAATTCCTAGGGCCCGTTTATGATTCATAATCTTGGCTGAGGTCACTTTGGGCTTCTTAATTATATCCAACATCAAATAGTGGATAAGGGTTTTAGATTTTGATCTCTTATCCCCAGAAAACCCTGAGTTCTGTAAGCCTTGATGGGTCCCTTCCAAGGAGTTTACCCACCAGTGCCTCAGAGAGAAGCAGTCTCTGTTAGTCCACAGCAGTTTGCTCACTACTCAGCGATGGGCTGGAGTGAGTTCCCTCGGGCCCCTGTGTGCATCTCTTCCCAACTCTGTCCTCACCACTCTAGTTCAAAGCTTGAAATCAACCACAATGGAAATACTTACAAAACAGCAATTAGCAATTGCTACAGATCAGGCTTCTTTTCCTTGTAGAATTGTTAAGGTTTACAATACACCGCTGGTCACATCCACCTGCCAATAAAGATTTTTCTACCTTTTCTTGGTATTTGCCTCATGTTATAGTTTTCACTGCTCCACTGTTCTAGTTTTTACTCACTTGATACTGTTATAAAAAAAAACTATATTAAATACTTATTGTGTGAAAAATGCTAAAAATATAATGAAAAGCAAAACAAATTCTCCCTTTCCTATTAGCGCTTCACTTTAAATAAAAATCTGTAAAATGTGGGCCTTCCCTGGTGGTGCAACAAGTTAAAGTGCCGCACTGCAAGTGAGCTGCAGCCACTTCAATGTGAGCTTGATCCCCGCCCCAGAGGTGACCCACGTGGCAGCAGACTTCTCTTGACACGCCCACTGCTCCCCTCAGCAGTGTACTTCATCAGTCGGCCTGTTCTGCTCCCCACTCTGTCTCTGGTGAATTCTCTCACCACACCTGAACTCTGGCTAGTTCTGTATGCATAACTAAGAAAATCTTTTAAAAAAATAAATAAAATCTGTAAAAGGAGAAACACCTACTACTGGTATAAGACATTTTTTATTCTATCATAGACCTCATTTGCATGTGTTTACATTAGTTTCCTCTGTTAACGGATTAATTAGAGTGATAATTTCATGTCCAGAAGTTGTACCAACGACTTCATTTGGTTTATAGCGTTACTGGATAAAGGATCTAAAAATTGTCATCATAACATAACTTTTCTCAACAGTTCTGGCGTATGATCACTGCCTGCCACAAATGCAAACAAGAAGACTTTGGTGTCATAAACAATATTTTTAATTTAATCTAACCAACAGTGTAGAAGAAGGGTAACTAGCATGGAAGAGAGTGAAGATCCAGTTACTGGCTGATGATACCAGGTGGAGCTGCAGTTAGGTGTCAGCAGATGCAGCAAGATCTGCTGCTACTGCTGCCCTCAGGGGCTCTCCCTCCTCCTGAGGGGGTGGCTGGCCAACATCCACCATGCTGCTAGCTGAGGGACAACCGCCTGCCTCTGCACCAGCTCCCATAAAAGAGGTAACTTTTGGAGTTCTCCCTGGAAGCACAACAGGTTGAAGCACAGCACTACAAAGCTAGCTACAGCCTCTTCAGCATAAGTTCAATCCCTGGCCAGGGGGTGGACCACAAGGTGCAGCAGAACCCTCGTGTCTCACCTGCTACTCAGCAGTGTACTTCATCGATCTGCCTGTTCTGCTCCCCACTCTGTCTCTGTTGAATCTTCTCACCACCCCTGCACCTATAGCCTGTACTCTAGGTCTGTATACATAAATAAATAAATGTTTTAAAGGAAAAGTAACTTTCAAAAGGGACTTGAAGTCAATCCATAAGGGGATGTTAGAATGTGGGGGAGACACATGCATTTATCCTTTCAAAAGCTCACACAATGGCCACTCAGCTCATACCCTTCCCAGCAATCCCCTCACTCAGGATGTCAGGGGTGGAGTTCAGATCACATACTGCACAGGTGTTAACCCATTCATCTTGGACCACTCTAACAAAAGCACTTCCTTTTAAGTATAGGTTCTCTACACCCTGTAATTTTAGTACAAATATAAGTTAAGATGCCAGCATCCCCATCCCTAATCTCCTAATGGTAGACATATGACTATGGTTTGCGAGCATATCCTACTCTTCTACAAATAGAGACTGTTCTAGGAGAGATATGTGGCCATATTAGAACCAATCACAATCATTTTTTCAAAGACTAATATGGATTCTGGAAGTCTAAAAACAGTTATCAATCTTTCTGCATACATAATCACGTAAGACTGGGGAAGTCCCCTAACATGGAGCCAGGTAAGAGAACGAAGCCAACAGGGATGAAAGCAGAGCCAAGAAATGAATGAATAAGGGAGGGAACATGATGATATTATTTATTTAAACCTCAGCTCCATCCATGCCTAGAGCCAAAATGACCCATGGACTTTCAGTTACATGAGCCAATCAATTCTTTTTGGCTTAGACTAACTGGAGTTGAGTTTTTACTAGGCAAATGGAGTGCTGGCTAGTATAGCAAAGTAGGGGAGAATTTAGGAAATCACATTCCATACATGGTGAATATCAAAGAGAGGTGGCCAGGTAAAGACCTGATGGCAGATAAGAAGAAAGTCCAGCAGAACAAATCACAGGACCTGGGGAGAGGAAGAGCTCCTGCCACCCATATTTCTGGCAACACAGGTTCTTGGGCATCCTCCCCCCTGGCTTGTAATATCAGTGCAGCGGTAGCCAAAATCTCTTTACTTCTGAGAGAGAGACACTCACTGAGCTAGATATCTACAGAGAATAACATCAACACTAGATGACAAAAAACAGAAAAGAAAGAAGATTCTCCAAAAGCAGGGCTACTAGTAAAATCTTTTCAAATAAGTCTTTGTTCTCTTTCCATTCTCTTCTTGACAACTGTCAGTGGAAATGATAAGGACAATCCAATGTTCTTCTGAAGGTAACTCATCAGTGTCACCTTCTACTGCCCTTGGTCTCTGCTTCCTTCATCTTCCCTCTCTTCTTAGTCCAGGACTTTCAGTTATCTTCTCAAGTGTAACTGATTTGCTTACCCTATGGTTTTTTGGCTTGAGAATTGTTTTCTTCTTTTTGTTTCTAGTTTTTCAGGATGCAACTCATCTTTAGTTATTCAACCTGAGGAAGAAATGAGAATACAGAGCAATAGTGGAGGAATTTGGTGAACAAGCTAGAGGTAAGAATATTGTAGAGGTAGAATCCAGCTTAAGGAGGTTCAAGCAGTGACAAGGAGTTCAAATAATGTAGATCTCAATGATGCTCTTTCATAAAGGGACAGAAAGAGGTCAATAGACAAACAGGTATTGAACACATTCAATATTTGTTTTACTCATTTGGAGAAAGGCTAAAGTCCCCTAATTTCAATGATGGAAGGAACCTAAGAGGACAGATCCCTGGGATCTTTAAGTCATTACTGTCTTTCAATCTGGGCTTGCTAGTCTGAGATACTCTCAGATGTCTTCTCAAAAGGACAGCCAGAAATCTGCCAAGTTGGGTAGTAGAGTTGATCATACAGAGTATGGGTTTCCCCTGTGATTAATCTACTGGAATGTAAACTAAATTAGAATGTTCTCTAATTTGGTCTTTTGAAATGAGAATTCCAGCAAAATGACAATAATAATAGTAATAATAAACCACAAATGTACCTAAGGAAAAATTCACTGCATAGATATCCTTGGTGATCCATGAAAATAATCTCACTTCCTGTGCGCAAGAAATTTATAAGTATCAAAGCCTGTGTGCCATCCCATGAACCTAGATGAGGAGAAGTCAAGATAAATTAGATGGGTCATGTGCTTATCCATTCATTCATTCAAGCATTCAACTAGACTCTCCAGGCAGAGAGTAGAACCTCAGTGATAGCATTCTTAGCAAAAAACTATTCAAAGGTTTTGTTTCAGCTTCTAATGAGAGCGATAGCCTCTTAATATATTCTAATGACAGAGGTATATACAATATTCTATGGAAGTCTGCAGAAGAGGAGGAGATACCAAAATGTGGGTTCATGGAGCTGGTAAGAAACAAAGATAAGGACCAGTTACCTATCTCAGTATGAGGGTCAAGGACAGAGCTAGAACACAGAAGACACTAGCAGCAGGTTCATCTGTTACTGACTAATTGCATGATATTGGGGAATTTGGCTTCAGTTTCAGTTTCTTCACTGGCAAATTAGGTGTGACTGTAGAGTTGTGTGGTTGTGTGTGTGTTAACTAACAATGCATCTGCTAGATTCAAAGGATTTGCACCCAGAGTCAAATGAAAAGACTGCTGAGAAAAGGAAAAATACATAAGCACTTTATCTTTTTTGTCCACGTTTCCAAATACGATGCAATTTCCTTGTCTTGTCTGATTAAGCTGATCTTAAACAGACTGTGATTTAAAAAGAAAAAAGAAAACTAAGTATTACTAACAGTTTCATACCATTTATCTTGATTAAAAGGACAGCTCTTATATATATACATAGAGAAAAGGCCTTCATCCTAAGTAATGGATGATCAATATTTTCTATAATCCTTTATAAAAATTTTAGTTGAAAGTGTGTCTTAGAAACACACAGAAAGATCTAGAAATGGACCAATTTCTGTGTTAAAAAAAAAAAATTGCCCCACAGGTCCTCTATTTACTACTCACTCTCCTTCTCCGTGTGCTTGAAAGTCATATTGTCTCCATTTTTCTCACCTCCCTCTTGTGCCTACCGACAGACAGTCAGTCAGCGTCCACTCCTACTGCTCCTCCAAAACTGTAGCTTCCCAGGTAGACAATGAGGCTCTTCACTCTCATTTCACAGAGTAAGTCTCAGGTATGGACATTCTTCCTTTTCCCTTGGACCTCTAGGATACTGAATCTCTGCAAGTCTTGTTCCTTGAGAAACATTATTTAGTTATTTATCATTACCAAGCATTCTGAAAGGACTTTACAAATGTCCTCATTTACATATCACAACATCCCTATGAAATGTTTGTTATGATTTGATTGTCTTTTTACAGAGGAGGAAACAGGCGTGGAGATCACAAAGCTGGAATGTGGCTGTATCCACAAAGCTGCTCCCCAAGGTCACATACTTCAGTTACAGCCATGAGGATGGAAAGAACAAGCCCACACTTACCTCACCAGATTGTCATCTTTAGTCTGAATTTTTCCTTTTTAAATGATTTCATCTAAGGCTAATATCTCCCGAAGGTCTCACCCCAAAATACTGTTAACTTGGAGGCGGGAGTGGGGGAGGCAACATCATCAGAATTGAAGGGAGAGAGGGACAGAGTTCAGTCCATACAACACTGTTAAATATTGGTATGCTTTCTTCCAGTCCTTTCTTAAACCAAGGAGAGCGAAGGAGGTGAAATGAGGAATGAGAAGCTATAGCTCTTCCTTACAACTGACTATTCTATCACTACTTCATTCACAGATGTTTCTATGACTGTCTTTCCTTGTCAGTGCATAGAGATGCAGCTTATTCATTTTACTAACTTCAAAACACACAATATGGAGCATATCATTAATAAAGTAAGATTTTTATCCAAAGGCAGATTGAGTAAATATATGTATATACTCCCTTGTAAAAACCCCACTGAAAGTATGTATATTTGAAATATATACATTGAACTATATATATATATGAATGTACTATATTTTTAATTATAAATAGATAATTTGAAACCATATATATTACATATAACAGAAACTATAATTTGAATATTATATATAAAAATCATAGCATCCCCAAACTTCTTTAAAAACAAGGCCTGGTGTGGCACAAGGGGTTAGGACGGCAGCACAGCAAGCTGGCCATAGCTGCTTCAGTGAGAGTTCGATTCCCACACCGGAGGTGACCCATGTGGCGTAGCAGACCTCTCCTGACCACCCCTCAGCAGTGTACTTCTTCAGTTGGCCTGTTCTGCTCCCCAGTCTGTCTCTGGTGAATCTTCTCACTGCCTCTGCACCTCTGGCTTGTACCCCAGTTCTGTATGAATAAAATAAATAAATCTTTTAAAAAATAATTAAAAATTAAAACAAGAATTTCAGTAGCAGAACAGATATATTGAGTAATTCCTGATTGGCTTAAAACAAAGGGGAATGTATAAAAATTGACAGAGAAATCCAATGAACCAGGTTTTCTTAATATAAGAAATAACAATAGTAGTGATTCCCAACTACCATGGCATATTTCACTTACAAAGGACCCTCTACCCCTCTTTTCCTCCCACCTTAAAAAAAAAATGAAATTAACAATTGGTCTTTTGCCTCCACAATAAAGCCAGGAAGGGGTCCTCTGGGAGGGAACATAATGACAACATTGGAGTCCATTCCAACATTACAGCAGCTGGAATAAATCTGGACATCCACACAGGCATGGAAATGTTTGGGGTAGGAAAGGGAAGAAAGACAAGTTCCCAATAATGAATTAAACCAAAGACTTCCACCTCCAGGATAAAGGTCTCCTGATTATGCCAACTTCCTGTTTGCCCCAAATCTAAAGAGTATCTTGCCTCTGAGCAGTTCCAACCTAGATACAAAGCTACCATGGAACCTAGTTCTATTCAAGGAACTTATAAGCAAGGAAACACCCCAGTAGAAGTCAAAATGGCACTTCAGTAACAGAAAAAACAAACTCAAAAACCTCCCTGCAGAAGCCCCTGGCAAAAGTTGGGTCAGAGAACTAGCTGCCAGGTGGAGCAGATGCTCTAACTTCAGCCAAGCACAAATGAGCATTGGAGTTTCCTTTGTTATCAGATGTCAGGTGTGTTCTGCACATCTGCCGAGGTCTCCAGGTAGGCTAGACCTCAGTTGCCCATTGATGTAACTTGCTTGTCAACCAGCCTATTCCAGCTTCCTCTTCTTCAGTTCCTGCTAAGCCCTGCTGATGCTTCCTGGGAACCTACAAAGTAAGTTTCTTGTCCTTGAGTCTTTGTCTGAAGGTTCCCTTCCAAGAAAATATGACCAAAAACCACTCACTTACTCAACACACACATAATAGCTCTCAGTGGTGGTGCTTCAGAGAAGCACAAAGAAGTTCAAGACCAAGTTAGAAGACAAGAAGAGAAATCTGTCTATTGTCTTTATGAGACACCATCAGAAACTCTAAAAATTATTGTAAAGAAAAGAACCTAAGTGGATGAACTAGAGCACTGGCTGTTAAACGGTTGCTTTAAAATTCTTAAAGAAAACACTGCTACAGTTTTTAAAAAGCATCCATATTCTAGAAGTGTGAGGGGTGAAACCTCACTCTCTCAGCTCCAGGAAGAAGAAAATGGTGGCCCAGGCCTGTTTCCACTGAAACAACCAATGAGATGAGCCAAACAGAAGTGCATAAAGTCGATGCACTAAATGCACCAACTTATTCATCAGAGCATCTTCTTTACTTCCATTATAAGCAATTTGCATTCAATTGATTATCTAGTTTTCCATAGCAGATTAAAGTGGCATACAAGAACATGGGCAGAAATGCTATAGAAGCAAGAACACTGTTTTATAAACCAAAAATGGCACATGTAACAGGAGAAATTGTCAGTGAGAGAGTAGATTCAATGTATATTCAAAGCAAACACGAAACCTCAAAACTAAGCCATATTGGCTCACTTGGGGAAAGGTCAAATACTCTGCTCCTTCACCCTCTTCTAAAGATACCACAATAACATACTCACAATGAAGCCTCAGTGATCAACAGCAAATACAATTAACATTCATTCACTATTCTCACTGAACAAAGGGAAGAGGGGTTTTTGATAACTTTCCATTAAATAAGATCAATAGAAATAGCTGACTGCAGAGGAGCATGGAGAAATTTGGGAGTGATGGAAATGACTTATAGATAGATGGAATTACCTGGCTGTATATGTCTATCAACTTATCAACTCTACACTAAAAGGGATAAAGCTTTAAGTAAATGGTAGCTCAGTGAAACGGACTTACAAGGTAATAGTAACTTCCAGCACTTACAGGCAAGAGTCAATCATTCAGAAATTCAATGATGTATGCATTGCCTACTTTCCTGGTGATACAAGCTATCTGCATTAATTCAAGATATAAATACTGGGTCAGTCATTGTGTTGAGTCCTGATACAAAGATTTTGAAAATATAATCTCTGCCTTAGAAAGTTTCATATAGGCTGATGAATTTAATTGCTGAAGTGTTTTATTTTAAACTCCATGTACAATTTAATACGGTGTTAGGGAAATTAAGGACCAGAGATAATTTCGAATACAAGTCACACCTGTGTCTCCCCTTTTCTCTCAGGTGCAGCTGACCTGCACAATTCCTTGCACTTGGCAGAAAGCTCTCCTTCTCAAGCATCATTTTAAATGGAAATCATTACCATGCCCTCACTAAGCAAACACCCAAGGGAATTGCAGGCAGAGTGAAATTTCTTCTAGATTTTCAAGCAATAAACAGAGCTTGTCATAAGCTGTCAGAATCTAGTAGCTTCAAAACCACCTACTTGGTGAGAAAGGAGACATGACACTGAAAAAGCCTGTTGTAATTCCGAGACCTGGCCGGGAGAAACTGTCTCAACACTAAATAGTCTAGAATTGTCAAAAACTCTATCAAAATTGACAAATGCAAAAGTAGGAACAGAGTAAAAAAAGCTTTAAAAGAATATCATCTTGGCCAGAACCTGGCCCATAACAGAGTTCAATGTGTATCTCACGGTGAAGGGATTCAGCCTGTGGGTGTGACAGGTCTACAAACTTTCCCTCCTATCAATCCTCCCCATCCTCGGCTTCAGCCATATTGCAAAAAGGTATGCGTGCTCACTCGGAAGGCACCAAAGGTTCTGTTTGTCTTGGACCTATAGTCCTGGAAGTAATCCCTTACCCCGTGCCAACCTTGGCCTGTTACCTATGGGAGGTGTCCCAGCAGGAAACAGTATCTGCCCCAAATTTCAGCTATGTTAATGAAGGGGATGCTTGAAACATTGTGGATACATCTCAGGCAACCAAAGAGGGGTGGTGAGGTCCCCTGAGGCTGAAAATAAAGGGAGGCTGTTACCACCCTCAGGCTTAGGGTCACCACATTCAAATAAAAATGTGGGACAATTTCAATTTGGATTTCAGATAAATAGTAAATAAATTTTTAGTAGGAGTATTACCTATACTTACATTTAAAAATTATTGGTAGCCTACCTAAATGCTAGGTGAGGCTAGCTTGAGTTTTACCTGCCAGCCTTACCCAGGTCTGAAGAGCAACACAGCATTACAGGAGCTGAGGAAGAAGGATCCCGTGGGAATGGTGGTCAGGGAAGCACATAGGCCAGAAAAGGAAGCCATGGTCCTGATGAACAGGGTAAGACATGGGGCCTCCCCATCCTGCTCAGAGATCTCCTATAGGCACTTGTCAGTCAGTAGCTGAATATAATCACAGACCTGTGGGCAAGAGAGAACAGTTATATACCTTTAGGTGTTGGTCTCCTGGAGCAAATGGGGAGGGTAAAGAAAGCACAAACAGATCTGGAGGTGGAGATCAAAAAGAGAATAACCAACACAGGTGCACAATAGTTCCTATTAGAAGCATTTTCTGTAACTGTTCTAGAAGGATTTGGAGATGATTTTTCTTTTTGGCTTAATACCACCTGTAAAATCAGATGTATAGGATTCTTAGGAAGCAAATATTTGCAAACAGCAGTCTCCAAATAATTAACTGATTAAAAGAGACCAAATTTCATATGACTTGTTTTCACATACAAGAGAGACTATCTCTTTCTAAATGTGGGTATATTCAGTGCACAAGAAGCTGAAGGAGCTATTATAATGAGTAGGATGACAGGTAGCTTCTTGGATGGGTGAAAACTTTCAGAAACTCCAGATTAAAAAAAAAAAGTAATTCATGGGCCACATTTTTGTCAGATCTTAAAAACCAAAC